CATATCAAATAGTCAACAAATCTGTGCCCCACTGAACCTTATTCACTCACTCCCACTCATTGTTTACATCATAGATCACCAAGGAGATTAGTCAGGTGACCATGCCTCCATCTTCTCTCAGTGTTGGTGTAGCACCCCTGAATTGATTGAGCTTGTTCAGGTGCCAATTAGACCAGAAAATTAGCATTAATTTCTCACATTGGATCAAATAATACAGTCATTCAGGAAGATCAGGCTTCAGATGGAATACTGTTATTCAGATAAGCATTTGTTAAGTATTCAAATACATGTTGAATATTCAGGACAGAGTGACAGCCTTAGACGAATGAAAGCTTGGAGATTTTATTAAAAAAGAAATGTTGCAGAGAAGAAAACATTTTGCTCCTGTCCTTTTCCCTCCGTTTGGTTTAGGACATTTTGGATTCCTGCCTCCATCTGGTGTTGCCTCCGTTAAACTTCTACTTGAGTTTCATAAGGTTATGATGGTGAATCTAAGGTTAAGCTTGTATCTGCTTCTCTTTTTTGCCCCCATTGTTGTAAAGCACACTGGCCTGCATAGTTAATCATAATTAATATCACAATTTATATCATATTTTAACTTGAATATTTGAATATTTTGAACGTGATTATTTTTTATTTTATTTTATTCTTATTTTTTTATTTATTTTAATCACTTTGATTGAAGTGTGGTTTCAGAACACTCACTTATCACTGAATTTAGAGGTTTCATGTATAAAGAATTATCTTAGTTTAAATACTGTATATAACAATAGATATCCCCTTCTGAGTGTGTACTGTAGTGAACACTGCATAGGGACCCTGGGAATTGGAATGCAGCTTATGGTGCGTTCAAGTCATGTCGGATAGATCGTATTTACGAGTTGAACGCACATGAACGCCACCACAAAGTCGTTATTACGAGTGGGAAACTCGAAATTTTCTTTAAGCCCCGAGTTTCCGAGATGGGGGCGTGTCAGTGAGAAACATGGCGGAATCGATGGATGCAACGTCTGTAGTTGATGGTAAATTTTTGTTTAAATTGATAGTTTAGTTGTCCTGTAAACTTAAATTGGTCATGTTCTTGTTACGCAGCTAGTTAATGAAATCCAAGTAAAAAAAAAATGCTATCATTTTTGCACCTATAGGTGAAAAATCTTTTGATTTGCCATGTTGCATGTTGCATTTAGCTAACAGCTTTTTTTAATCTCTGTATTTTAGCATTTGTTGATGCTGAAAATCAGTTATACTGGGATCCTGGTCTAAAAAAAATATTAAAAATGCAAAACACACCTGATGCGAATTCTTTGCTCTTCATTTTCTATAAGCAGAGTTAACAGACCCTGTTGTATTTTCTTGTAATTTATTAAAAGAAGGTACACCGCCATCTTGTGCCGACTAAACTGACTTGAACGCACCTGACGTCGTAATTGCGACTTGTCAACTCGTAAGTACGAACGTCCCAGGAGGACTTGAACGCAGCATTATATGCCTGTGAAGGGCTCATGCCATACCCTTAAAACACTGAATGACAAAGCATGAAAAATCCATCTATTTCTTTTTAATGTAAAATAATATACTTGATACTGGTCTTTTTCCCCAGTCATATCAGTCCACATTACACTAACTCTCATAAATAGTTTTGCTTACTGCCGTCTGGTGAGTTATTAAAGACCCACATATTTCAGACAGTAAAGCCAGCATCTCTGTTTTCTATTTTTGCTGATTATTATATTTGCAGCAAGTAACATTGTACTACATTGCTAAACAATTTTAGAACATGTGATACATTGATTGTAAGTTATAACACAGTAAATTATCTCTCATCTCTTGATCTCATCTTCACTCTCTCTCTCTCCCTCTCATGGTCTCTTTCTTCCCTCCTTCCTGTCAAGTGCTTATGCCCAGTGGGATGACGTCACCTCAGATGTGCTTGCAGCCATACAAGCCGGCTTGCACAAAGACTGTGCAAGACTGTGATGTGACACCATTAGAGCGACCCCACCCCCCTTTCCCAATTTAACAGACAGAGAGATAATATTAAACCTTAAGTACTGTAAAGGTTAACTTTGTTTTAATTGTTTGCGGTCCCAGAGACCCCACTGCTGTAGGTCTATACATGCAAATATTAATAGTGTATATTAATAATATTAATAATAGTGCTATAATTAATAATGGTGCTTTTATTCATGTTTTATATTTGGGTTCTCTGGTTCAATCAAGTTTAAATTTAGAATCAGTTTCCATAAGATTAGTCATAAAGTATCATCCTGATACTATGATGTTAAGTATGTTTTATGAGCTGTTGGAGTCTCTCAGACCCCAAACAGAACAGAAGGATTAATACTTTTTTTTTTTCACAGTGCTTACAGTTCTTTGCAGGGCAAGCTGTTTGTTTGTGCTATTCATACTCCTGTTTGTGATCATTGATGTCATAGCTGTCTGTTTCCAATGACTATTGATGATGACCAGGCACAGAGGAAATCAGATAATTTCAGCATTTTCTGCTCTGAAATTTAAAGAGAAGAAATGTGGAATGGATTAAAATTTTGTTTAGTACTACACTCTTATTTATAGGTGGAAGAATAATAGCCATACATTTTATATATTTATGGTGTCTGTAAGATTTTTAAAATGGTTTTGAAAGAAGTCTTATTTAATCAAAAATACAGTAAAAACAGTAATATTACGAAATATTATTACAATTTAAAATAACTGCTTTCTATTTAAATTAATTTTAAAATGTAATGTATTCCTATGATGACAGCTACATTTACTTCAGTCTTCAGGGTCACAAGATTCTTCAGAAATCATTCTAATATTTTGATTTGCCAATCAAGAAACATTTCTTCTTATTTTTTAAATAAATTTGATGATGAATAGAAAGTTCAAAAGAACAGTATTCATTTTAAATAGAAACCTTTTGCAACATTATAAATGTCTTTACTGTCATTTTGATCAATTGAATGCATTCATGCTTAATAAAATAATTAATTTATTTTTTTTCAAAAAAATCTCACTGACCCCAAACATTTGAATTGTTTATATTTAAAATTAATATAATCTATTCTATATTTAATTACTACTCCATATAATAAGGTATGATTTGTGTGTATAAAAAAGGTGTTATTTACCTAAAGGGCCTTGTGTTTGAGCAGGTTTTGCTTAGTAAAGTGGGTGCTGGAGAGAAAGAGAAATCCTGGCGTAGCACACATCTGAGGAACAAGAGAGAGAGCAACTGGGATGCGTTGCCATAACAACGAATTCAGCAGGCCACCTACTAGCTTGTGTGTGTGTGAGACGGAGGAGAGGGTAGAGCAAGCAGATGTGTGTGTGTGTGTGTGTGTATGCCAGTGCTCTCCTGTCTTTGTGTGGAGTGGAGCATGTTGGGTAAGTGTCCATTGCCAGAGCTGCCTTTTCTGATGGCTGCAGCACAGGAGCAGAGGGAGGGGTCTCTCTTGCCTGCTCTCTCTTTCTTTCTCTCTCACATCCTCACACCCGCTATCCTCCCCCTACTAAAGTAAAAACAATAAAATTCATAATGGAGAGCAACTGAATTTAGCTCTAGCATGCTGATGCCTCACAAAAAAAACAAAACACTGGGCTACCAGCTTCCCCAGCAGTCACTAATGCTCCATAAGTCATTTAGATGCTTACGAGCAGCACGTTGCTGTCTGTACAGACTCTGCATGAACAGTGAGACACACAGGCTGGGATTTGAGTGATGGTCCTTTGCCTGCCGTACACACACACACACACACACACACACACACCAGGAGAGCAGCAGCTCCGTGTGGATGATGTCATCCTATCTGCATCCTGCAGTGTTAGCAGCGCAGCTTCAGACCCTTTGTTGCCCTTTTACGCTATACTCGGACCAGTTTTATGGGTTCTTTTAGCATTGTGAGCTAAGTAAGTAGTGAAGCACAGCATAATCTTTAGAGGTTAAAGGAGTTGTTCATTCTTGCAGTGTAATCTTAGTGTAAAACATATTTTTTCCTGAGATATTTTGTAGCTTCTTTCAATACACATGAATGGACACTGGTTTAAAATTTTTTTTTTTTTTTTTCAAGATCAGTGTTTCTACTGCAGTTTATTAGTTTAGACTTCATCTCCAAGCAATAAAAATTGCTAAAGTGTATAATTTTTTTTTTTTTTTAATGAACAATGGTATATAATTATGCTTTGTATTTCTGATCTCATCTCCAAATTGGATTTCACTTCATTATGAATAACTGTATAAATGATCCATAACGATTTTTAGCCATGGTTTGGATAATGCTGACTCAGTTCTCACTATTAAACATCAGTGTTTGTAACTTTACACAAGGAATACATGGAGTTTAAAAGGTGTGTCAGACAGACGTTCTGCATATAACGTGTATGTCTTGTGGTATTTCATCTGCTACCAACAATATTAAAGCATTTGATGTAGTGCATATGCTTATTTTAATAATGAGCTGGACAACAGTGGGTAAAGCATCATTAAAAGTCTTTGCAACAGATGCAGGAAAGTGGAAAAGTGAAGTATAGTCTCTCAGATGTATTATGTGATATAACATGTTTGATTTGCTCTGCATTGTGCTTCTAGTAAATCCAATATGCATGGGTGTTTTTTTGGGATCAATATTGATGCATGGCCTGGGGTCTTTCTGCCTACGCAGGCAGAGGGGCTTATTGCTGAGTCGTCAGTATAAGGTCACATTTGGCAACACACGATCACACACCCTGGATAACCTTCACGCTAATGTTGTGACTGTATAGCATCTTGAATCTCCTCCACACCCCTCCCTGGCCTCAAACTCCTCCTTTCTCCTGGTCCCACATTAATACTGTGGGAGACATCGTGAACTCATAAAAATCTTAGGTGGTTTTTGTTTTCTTATTTGTTTGTGTAACATTAAAAAAGGTGACATTTAAGGACCAATCAGTTAGTTGCCAAACAAGTACATTCTTGTATAGTAGGACTGACCATTATTTTGTGTGTGTGTGTCCCTCTCTAGGTGATGCATCTCCAATCAGTATGTCACCCATCAGTCAGTCTCAGTTCATCCCACTGGGAGAGATTCTGTGTCTGGCCATCTCAGCCATGAACTCTGCCCGCAAGCCTGTCACACAAGATGCACTGATGGAGCACCTTGCCACCTGCTTCCCAGGTAGCCCTCCAGACATACTTATGAACACACACACACACACACTTGAGTGCTGTAAACACTACTAATAATATTTTAGAATAGACATTACCACATTAATTATTACCTATGCAAGTTTCATTATAACATTATAAAAAGACTTTCAGTTTTATTGGGATAATCTTAAAAAATATTGTGCTGGATAAATTGCCATTTTGCACACGCCACAATTATTTGGGTTCATTCATCTCATTTGCTGAGATTATAGCAATAGGTCAAATTCATAATCAGTTTTTTTTTTTTCGGGCAAGGAATTTACAGTAAAGAAAGACTGACCGTAATTTTGATTTATAGATATAAATGAAAATATTCTTACCCTGTCTATCAAAACTACCCTTTAAAAAAATTGTTTTTCCCCCTGTACTATTGTAATTATTAGTTCTGATTATTGCGACTTTTGGAGTATACAGTCCAGAGTGATTCTCTTCTTAATTTTATTTCATGGTAATGGTGAAAATAAAATTTATGATGACACTATAAACTCCAACAGTTTATAGTTTCAAAAAAGTTGAATGTCCAAAGCTATTTTTGTCATTATCAAATACATTTTCTGTAGAATGACCCTATGCCTTTTCATAATTCTGGGGTTATCAGAAGCAGAAGTCATAGCTGGGTAAACTTCTATAGTGGTAAATGGAAACTACAACAAGTATTTTTTGCAATATCATTTGCCCCAATAGCAAAACAACAACAAAATCTACGATAACAATTTGTATGATTCTCCAAAAAAATTTTTTTTCATAAAAAATAGAGAGATTGGTTTTGTTGGTCAAAACAGATAAAGATGACAAATTTGCCATCACTCCTTTAGTCTTTGTAGAAACATTCACTCAGCAGTGCTAACTAGTTTTCTGTAATTTAAAGAAAACACAGTATTTTGTGTATTTGGTGTAATGAAATGTGTTTATGTGGTTTAAGGTTCAAAAAACACATTATTTTCCACATACTGTACATTATTGTTTCTCCTCTATGCCCCGCCTTTCTGAAACGCGTCGATTTTTACAAAGCTCATCGGTCTGAAAAAGCGAGGTGTGCTCTGATTGGCCAGCTATCCAGTGCGTTGTGATTGGCCGAATACCTCAAGCGTGAGACGGAAATGTTACGCCCCTTACCATATTGTGATGATGCCCTGTCAGGCCGGAGCGATGATTCAAAAACATGAAAACCCATTATAAACGAGGCATTCGTTGCATCCAGTGGGGACATAATTATGGATTATAATGACTTATACTGTCTTTTTACAAATTGCGTTGCATCGCACCGCGTAAACATAAAACCATGTCTGCATTTGTGATC